GGGTGAGTATTTCAGGGCAGGAGAGATACCACAACTGTTCAGCACAGATTTGACCAAAGGATCACGTTCACTTGTCTCTGACGAGTTTTAGTATGGTGCTAAAAATGGCAAGGCTCACTGTTAATGCTGATTACGATACCATGGCAATGTCCACGGTTCGACTCTACAAGCTATCATGGATCATATGGACTCTGGACAATGGTTGTTTCTCTAAGCTTCCTTGATAATACGGCGACGTTGCGAACACAAGGTCAAACAACGTATTTAAAATAAAAAAAGACCGCGACCATACTGAAGGCTATGCCATCTTGGCCTTCATACCTTTGACTAACGTGCTTAGTAAGCATTTATGCGCCAATGGGTTCCATGCTATATTTCTTTCAAAAACAATTTTAATAGCTTTGTACACAGACAAAGGATCGATATTTAAGCGCAGGCAAAATGAATAAGCTAGTTCAGCTTTAATTTTTTTTAGCTATTTTTGCATCTCTAGGTCTTAAATAAGTAGAAAGTACGCGTCTTCTATATCAGTTGATTTGATCCTATGCTGGATAAAAGGGCTCATTGCTATTATTATTACTTCTTCAGGAAAAGTCCCATCATTCATATCGAATTCCTGCTGTAGTTATGTGTGAAATACTTTATTGGAATGCAATTTTTATTCTGCTTATTTAAAAAGAGATTTACTTGGTTCGTTGATTGATTATATTCACATAATATTATTTGACCCTTTAATATTTATCATGTCACATTATGTGCTTTTTAATTGCCTTTTATATTTCGTCTTTTATTGACAAGCCTTTTCTCTTATAAACATTAATTTTTGTAAAATTTGACTTCGAATATTTATTTTCGAATCTTTTATTTCAGTGCTCTTTAAGAGTTTCAAAAATTCTATTTCGAACTTGAAGTATTTTCCAATTTTAAGTTTTATTAATTAGGCCATTTAGTCACATATCCTCTTTCATAAGCCCCCCACATCCACTTATTCTTACTACTTCATCTGCTCTCCTTGTTGTTTCCCACTTTTTACATATATTTTTTGACCGATAGGAGGAAGGTGCCGATCTGCGCAACGGCGTTGAGGAAAATTTATTGCCAGATTCTTACCTCAATTCGACTTTAACTGAGCCACTACTCGTACCCGGTTTGAAGGACCTCTTTAAATCGGATTGCGTTCCACCTCCGCCACTACCACCGCCTCCTCGCCAAAGACCCAAGAGGCCTGCTCCACCACCTCCTCCTGTGGTCAGTGAATTCTTCTCTTCCATCTCTACATCAACTGGTACGACCAATTCTGAGTCTCCAATTCCTACATTGGCTTCGGCTTATCAGCAGGTCACAGGTTCGTCTGAGATGTTCCTGAGGCAGTTAACTGGCAACTTAGAGGCGATGTCTCCATGCGCTGACACCTCACCCTCGACCTCACCTTCTCCAATTGATAGGGATTTGTCATCCCATGTCAGTCCGGGTTCTAGATCTACTGCGCCAACACGCATTTCTCTATCCGCATCACAAGCTTGCGCCTCACTATCCTCCACTGCGGTCACTACTTCCAGCATCCAAATATTGCATACTACATCAGATGCAGCCTCTTTCCCTGTTTTCGTGCACTCAGGTCCCGCCGAGTGTAGTGGAGACGATGCTTCTGTAGGCATCGGTACTCAACCACGCCACGAATTCCTCTTTTCCCAAGCCACATCGAGCAGTATAACTGCTCCACCGCGGCCACCACCTCCGAGGCTGGCAGCATCTACTTCCTCGGGTCAATTGCGGCGGCAGTCCTCAAATGCGACAACTGCTGTAGGAGCAGTCTATGGATTGGATGAGCAGAGGGCTCAGCGACAATATCAAATGGAGCAAGGGATCGGACTTCCTCCGACACCCAAGGTCCATGTACGTCACCTTCCTTTTTTTAGAATAGTTTAGCCCAACCATACTTAAGATGAAACACTATTGCTTAAAAGTTTCCTTTATTCTCTTTCGATATTTTTCCTCAGCTTTTTGTCATATTTTTAAAATTTAATTTAGACCGAACCTGTAAAGCTATTCAACGAGGTATTGTCTATCCGGATTATTCAGCTTTCATTCCTGACCTGCTGAAACCTTCTTTAGAGACATATAAATAGGAAAGAATCCCTGGAATCTATCATTTAGTAAATTATAGGTACCACAATTTGAGCTATTTTTAGTTTTTTTATTGCTTATTATTTGGTATGGTAACATACATTAGTTAGCATTGCGTGAAATTCTTTCCACCATCATTATAAATGAAGATGGCTATCATAGGTCGCCTTGCCAATTTAAGGACTTATGGTTGGGTTGTCTGTACTTAGTGTAGATCCCTTAATCTTCTGTTATTCCTAAATCAACTTTCATTCTAAGCATTCACTTCTAGGGTAAGAAGTAAACAGGCGAGTTGCGATTTTAATTTGTAGTTTCTCCTTTATCTTTCTCACGCTTCCTTGATGCTGTCTTGCCTTTCTATTGTATGTATTTGATTAGCGGATAAAATAAAATACCAATATAATCAGATAAAATATTTTAGATGTTTGTCTGTTTTGAATTATTTTAAGAAAACTTATATGACTTATGCAAGGTCATAAGTGTAGTCCAATCGGAGTGATAGAACTTTTAGGGAATGTAAAGCCTTATTATATCACTATTAGAAAAACTCATCTACCAATCCTTAAATCGCCTTATGCGACTTAGGGAGACTAAGTTATTATTTAAGATTAAGTAGCAAAGTTACAACAATTTTTCATTTTTCACCACAGTATTTTTGAAGATAAATAAGTTTTACAAGTGGTGATCACGAACTGATCTTACATCCTTGTAACAGTTTATTCTTATTTTAGAATAGGTATGAATGAATAAGAGCCATATCAGTAGGGCATAAATGCAATTTAATGCCCTTCATTTTAAAAGTAGTCTTCGCAGCGACGAATCTGTCCGCAAGCGCATTTTATTACTGGCCGTATTTGATACGGTTATCAGACTGTATGGGCTGTGTTAAACTAGATTTACTTGTTTATTTTTTCTTAATTTTTTCGTACTTCAATCCATGCTATTTCTTCTAATTACTCTTTGATATGGGAATTTAAATGACTTGTATCGACTCGCCTCTTCGATTTTCCTCTAGCACAATACAATTTTTTCGTATAAAGACCAATCTTATCATGACTCGTTTACCAAAACTTGAGCACATGAGCTCTACATTTGGATGTGCCTGACTGATCACCTCAATGCATGCCATCATTTAGGAACGAATTAGAAGTTGATGCACACATCAAAGAGTTAATAACTTACATGAAAACACTGGAGTGAGAGGCTTAAAGATACGGCTTGACGAGGGCGTCTGTTCTTTTACGCTCTGACTGTCGCTATTTTATTCTTGCCTTCCCCTTGCACGACCTTTTTACACTCCCCTTTCACTTGTACAATATTTTGCTATTTACTAGCGCTTTGTTATTTAGCCCTCATTCCCCAATCAGGCTAGGTATCCCTACATTACAGCACGTAGGCTAATGTATCCTGAGTTATTTCACAAAAGATTAATTTTCCATCTTTGCGATTATTTTATCCTTCTAGCCAAGTTAGAGCTCTTGACTTTTGAATTTTTTTAATGTCCTTCGATATATATATATATATATATATATGTATAAATAAATTCTGATCAGGGTTAACTCCTTTCGCTTCATTTGCTCTCTAAGCATTTCTTTTTTCCACAGCGGTAGATTGTGATTCGATCCGCTGCACATAGCATTCTTCTTCGAATTGCTAAGATATGTAAGAACCTCACTTGTGCTTTTTATATTACTGATTTGATGTCATTCTCTAATCCTTGATTAAATATTTAATTTCCTACCTTAGAAACCGCTGTAATTACCATCATAGGTTAGGCCTTTTTATCATAATAACCTTTTGTTGCAAGGGTTTTTGCATAATTTTTCTATCTTAGCCCAAACAGCCTAGTGTATATATCTCAGCTCCTCTTCATCTGGCACTTGTTCCTACCTTCTGACCACTGCACTTTATGCCCATTTGCCTATTTATGATCATTCATCAATGTTGATAACCTTTCTTTGTGGTACCCACGGGCTGCTTGATTTAGCTCATTCAGTACTGGTCTATTTTGCTTTGTTCAATTGCCAGGCAGGCTTTAATTCCTATTTACAAGATTCCTTTTGTATCTAAACTATGCATCTAGCTGTAATTTGCCCTTTATCGGATATGCTTGAATTTCAGGAAGCACTTTACTATTCCAATTTCCCACAGTTATTTGCTCAGTTTGAATAATTTTTTTTTATTCTTCAAAATTTTCCTTCTTCATATAAAAAAGCAGAATGGTTCTGTAATCTTAAATTCCCTTCTGTATATTTATACTTGCAAGAATAATAGTCTTTCAGTTTTTATCCAAATGTATTTATGTCAAAATATGCTCACACTCTTTCTATATTTTCACGAGGGTCTAACGCTCGAATTAGTCATCTAATCCCTTATTTATTATAGCGTTCTTTCAGCAGCAGCTTATCTTTACCTTACAGCACATCAGTTAGTCATTATTTTAAATTAGTATTAATA